ACCCTACCCTTTGCATGCTACGGAGCTCGAGACGTACCTGACCTGAGTGTAGCTAGTTAACGGCCACAGAATTTTGGAAGAGCTTACTGTATGTATGGACGGTTTGCCCGCTAACGTGCACCATAACCGTGTTCACTGAATGGGTTTATCCTGAACTCCCTAAACCCCTAAACCGTAAAGTTTGAAGGTCGTCTGATATCTTATTGTAACCCTCAGCCCTAAAACCTCTAAACCCTAAACCCTAAACCCACTTAACCCCCTACATCCTAAAACCTCTAAACCCTAAACCTACTAAACCCCCTACATCCTAAAACCTCTAAACCCTAAACCTACTAAACCCCCTACATCCTAAAACCTCTAAACTCTAAACCCTAAACCCACTAAACCCCCTACATCCTAAAACCTCTAATCCCTAAACCTACTAAACCCCCTACATCCTAAAACCTCTAAACCCTAAATGCTTTGTTTTGGCAGCCCAGACCCGGTGGCCTGAACGCAAGCATTTCCTAATTTCGAGGCCATTGGCACTTAGTAGTAACTTCCTTCCGGGTTAAGGGGGATTCAGGGTTTAGGGGGTTTAGGGTTTAGAGGTTCAGGGTTTGGGGGTTCCCTACTTGGAGGTTTATAGGACTTTGCAACTACTTATAAGTTGGTCCGTTCAAAGGGGTTGAAGGGATGTTTAGAGTTTAGGGCTTAGGCTCCATGCGGCTTAGTAGCTACTGACAACTGGGCCTAGAGCCCTACATATAGACCCCCTTTTCTAATGGGCTTATAGGGATTATCCTCAATCATAAGTAGGGCTAGCATCCCAGTTACAAGTACTTGCTCCGTCCCATGCACCTCCAAGTAAGCTTCATGTATCCCCTGAACTAGCAGGCTCCGGCTTCTCTAGGGACTTTAGGAGGGACCCCCAATAGGGACCCTTAATCCCATTACCATATATAACCCTGATATAGTCATTAATATATTAACCCCCATAAGCTACAAGGGTCCCTATTAGGGGTCCCTTCAAAAGTCCTTAGATCTTCGTTCCTGAAGATTGAGAACCCTGGGCTCTCACGTGATCATGGTAGTGACCGGCATAACAAGAATCTAGGATTTGGGGTTTGGGGTTAAGGCTTTTGGGTTGGTTTCAGAAGTATACCATAGCTGTATGAGGATTGTAAGACCTATCAAACCCTAAACCCTGAACCCTGAACCCTAAACCCTAAACATATTTACTTCGGTACTTTATCATTCCGACTTCTAACGCGCTCTTCGGCTCAAGAGTTTCCGGCTGCACGGCTCCAATGGCCGCCGAAACCCCGAGCGCGGCTTTGCGGGACTCCCAGGATCAAACACCTGCTTCAGAGTCTTGGCTCTCTAGGTTTCTATACCCTATTGGGTTTATATAAAGGTTGTATAGGGATAATGGAAAAGAAAATGGAAACTACTATAATGGGGTTATATAGGGATCATAGGGTATATGGGCGGTTGTCAAAATTATGGTCCCTTTTTGGGATCCCTATTATTCTACTGCAACTAATATTTAGGGTACCCTAAAAGGGATCATAATTTTGGCAACCACCCAATACGGTAGTTTTCCCGAAATAGGGGGACCCCAACATGGACCCCAAAATACTAAAATACTTATTATGGGAACCCCCAAAATGGCACCTCCAATTTTAGGAAACCTACATATTAATCTTGCAGGGTTTAGGGTTTAGGGGCTAGGGATGCTGTCTGCGGTTATATAGGGCTTAGAGAAGCATATATACGGGTTTGGATAGGATATTTACGGTTGCGCAGGGTTATAGTACTATTCAGGGTTTAGGGATATTATCCCCAATAATGGAGAATCAAATGGAAAAGAAAGTGGAACATGAAATGGCAATTGGGATTCGATCGGGGTTTATGGTGTGTAGGGCTTCCCATAATTAGGGGTGCCAGTTTGGGGGTCCCCATAATACGGATTGTAGTCTATTGAGGTCTAGTTGGGCCTCCCTACCTCGGGAAACTACCATATGAGCTATAATCTAAATTCCTAGTATCCCCCCTAATAGTCCCTGTAGTAGTCCCTTATCTAATCTCCGATGTACCCCCTACAAGGAGTTTAGACTATAGCACATATTTGGGACTCTAAACTCTAAGCCCTAAACCCTAAACCCTAAACCCAAACTACCATATGTTTCATGGTCTTAGGTTGCAGGTTTGAGGATTTCAGGGTGTGCGCAAACAGCATGATTCCTTGCGTCTGCACGGTTTAGGGTTTAAGGGTTAGGGTTTAGGGTTTAGGGTTTAAGGGTTAGGGTTTGAGAGGACGGTGCCTACACATGAGGGTTGAGATCTGCATAGGTTTACACGACATGGGCACACATACAAAGACATGTTGTGCTGAATGAAGTCTCTGTTGATACTTTTCGGTATTTGCACGTATAAGATCTGGTAAATCAGGGTGGAGCTTTGGGGTGTTTTAGCTTATGGCTTGGGTCATTCCCCAACAGTTACCACAATGGAAAATAGGGATAATAGCCGCTCAATAGAACACCCTCTGAGGACAGTTACTGGGAAGGGGAATGACCCAAGTTATGGCATCAGACATGCAACGTCAGGGAATCAGGGTCCGGACCTAAGAGACTTGGGAAGTGCGAGGGCTGAGGAAACTGGAAGACATCTGGGGCCCAGAGTTGTGGCAGTTTAGAATTTAGATTATATTAATTGCAATAAAAGTAATAATAATCATGGTAGGAATAATAATAACAATAATAAGAACAGCAAAAGTATTAATAATCATGATAGTTATAAAAATTTGGGTTTCAGGGCGAGCTGGGCAGCAGCGGTAAACTGACGCATAATGCAGCCGAAGCTCTTCAAACCATTGGCCCTTTGTGAGCTAGCATGAAACCTATAGATCAGCGGAAGTCTCCGAATCCTGACACCATCGTTGGCTCAGAATCCCTGGCAACGAAAAGGGCAGGTGGCACAAAATGGTTTAAGGGGGAAGCGGTGTCTGAATTCCTGTCCTGTTGGCACTTGTGTTGTGAAGCCCATTTTTGTCAAACGATCACAAGCTCTTGCCAACGTCTAGGTTACCGAACGCAAAAATAGGTCGACATAGGGTTCCTTTTACTAGCAAGTTATTGGGCCCCTAGCTTTATTCTCGGACTAATGCTGGACTGCTGCCAGAGGAGTCAGAAAGCCACATTGCATCCCAACACTTCCTACATCATCCCTCTTACAACATGCTAGCAGCCTTACACGGCCTTCTTGTCTCGCGCAGAACCCCAATAAGAGTTATGCAATCCCCATGGAACACTTAGCGTCTCTACACCTGAGGAGTCGGAGGTCTGGTCTTGGCTGGAGGGCGTATGCCGTGCGCAGGAATTTTCAAATCCAGGCTGCCAGCACAACTTTTGCCAAAGGGTGCAGATACCCAATGGGGGCTTGTTGGTTTAGGCGTTATTTTTTTCTTACGAGGTTCCAGGGTAGAGCGTTTAATGGGACCCCAAGCGTTTCGAACATAGGCGTTTTGGGGCTTTTCGGTATACTCTGTAGCTAGCTTGATGCCTTGGGTCTCTCTGCTATGTAAGGGCTTACTTCTTTCTATGTTTGGAGTTCTTGGCGGCTTGGATTCCAAGGGTTTCATATGTTGGGCTCGAGGGTTGCGAAACGTACCTTTTTTGATATTGCTGCATCTGAAGCCTGCCAGTTCTAAGTACAAACCATACCTACTTAAGGCCCTAAAGTCTATGCATACTAACTGCTGTGTTATTTGGATCCTAACTGTTGATATTTCAATACCTGCATGGCCTTAGTTCCTTTGAATACCGCAAGTTCCAAGGCTATAAGGTACAACTATGGTCATGCAGGATTTTGAGTATTAAGCCGAAAACGTCCTATATCCCAGATTGCACTTTCCACGTTCAACATTTTGTTCTCCATCACTGGGGACTAAATCCTACTATGAAACCCCAAAGCAGAGGGAAGGTTCTGGGTCCCCATTGTCAGGTGTCCCAAAGACAGAATGCAGGGTGCACGCTTGAGTAGTGCTCATATAGGGGCCATGTAGGAACAACACAGGGATATGGTATGGGGATGAATAGGGTTTAGAGGGCCTTCTTATTTCGGGAATCCATGAGGGCCCCTGTAGAAGGCACCCACTTTAAGTGGGATGTGGGGGTCCTCTAGGGTTTTTTTTACAGGAGATGCCTCGGATGATCACTGAGGAGTCGCTCTGGGGATGTCTTATGGCAAGGATTACCGAATATTGGCTGCATATTGGGGCGCCCCGTGTACGGGACCCCCCCTAACATGTCGTGCGCTACGAGCCAATTGCTTTCGCCATCTCTTACGAAAACTTGTTACTTCAGAATGGATGCCGCGCTGCTGCACGTGGCTTCCCCACTTCCCTTGAACTCAACGCCCTAAACCCTTCAGCCGTTGCATGCGTGGTCCCTATCCAGTGTAACGCGGCACCTTCATGTGGGTCTGCTTTAGACGGTGCCTCTACAGTGTTTCGGGTTTGGGGTTTAGGGTTACAATATGTGGAGGGTCCTCGACCCCAAACCTACGTCTGGTTAGCAGGGAATAGGGGACGGAAAAAACAGAAACAAAACACAAAAAACATGGAAACTACTATTTGTTCTGGGAATATATAGGAGATACCATGAGGATCCACTCCTGCATTCCTTGCTCACAAGAGGGAAGACACCCTCTAGACCCAGTTTCCATTTCAATTTCCATTTTCTGTTGCTTCCTCCAGGTTTGAACCTTCTATTCCTATAATAGACCTGTGTATATACAGTCCCCCTTCAGTAGATAGAATATGGCAGTGGGTATACTATAAAAAGACCCCATATATCCCATATTCTATCTACTGAAGGGGGACTATAAACCCCCTAAACCCTAAACTTTCCTCCCCATATGCTATATACTTAAGGGGGCTATACCCCATCAAAGGGTGAAAAGCAAACATACCCCTTCCCTAAACCCCAAACACTGCTGGCGAGCTTGCCCTGCAGGCTGGGTCACCCCTGGAGATGACAACGAGCGCCTGAAGACCACTGCGGTTGAGCATGGTTTCCCAGACCCCCTACAGGTTTAGAGTTTAGGGTTTTGGGGATCCAAAAAATTGAGCTCCCTAATAATCCCCTAGTTTCCCCAATGTGGTACTGGGTTCATGTTGGGGGGGTTCCGTTGTTTGGATTTTTTAGGGGGTCTGGTTTAGGGCTGAATGCTACAATAAGGTTTAGGGTTGAATTGATTTAAAGTATGAGGGTGCAGAACTTAGCAGAAGTTAGGGTGTAGGGCTGAGAGTTCATGATTTCTGGCTGAGGATTGAGGAGTTTTAGGGCGCAGGGTTTAGAGTTTGGGTTCTAGGGTTCTGGGGCTCGGAGTTCTGTATCACTGTGCGCATCATGGGACAGCTAGCTGTAGTAGTCCACAGCTGACTACAGCGCTGGTAAACCATTTCCGCAATGCGGCTTATATCATGATCTAGCCTTTGATGACCAGCAGTAGTAGAAGCTTTCCAACCCTTGCTTTAGTTTGGAAATTATTCCCACGAATAGAAAAGTCATGGTCGTGGCAAATCATATATCCACGGCCAGAAGAATGACAGTAGAGTAGTATTAATGACAACAATAACCATGACGAACAACATTACCAAAAGAGAGGAAAATGGCAGTAAGCTGTGAGGAGCTCGGTGCCCGAATGGTTGCTGGAGGATGAGCATGCCTTTGCTTGGAGGGTCGTATCGCTCCTTGGGATGTATACAGGGCTGAGCTTCAACATACACGCACGGGACATTGCTGAAGGCCCTGGCATTACCTACTTCTCCTTGTGCTTTACTGGGGCGGACTACTCCCAGCATCCTGAAGAACAGCAGCCGGATGATTGGGAAGAGCGCCTGAGCTGCGGTCACATCTTCGTGGGCCCGCAGTATACAGTGGACCTGCTCCGGAGCGGCGAGGTGGCCATGGTGTCTGTGGAAAACCTCAAGCACATTGTGGTTGCGGAGTCTTTGTGTGACTTCCTGATGCTTCTGAAGCTATGGCTGGCTGAGATGTTGCCTAAGGCTGAGGATCTGCACAAGGCTGCGATCTCCCGGATGAAGACTGGGACCGGAGGGCCAAGCCACTCTGCATATTTGGTGGAAGAAGGGCTTCGCTTTACAGCGCTCCCCGACTTCATTCTCGGGCGCCTGCCTCCATCACTTCAGGCCAAAAGAGCTGCGGAGGCCGCGAAGGTGCCTGTTTGCGCAAATGAGTACCATGGGAGTAGTATTTTATTTGGGGATATTATGGTACCCACTATAAAGTAAGATTATATTCTCCTATTGGGGTATAGTAGTTTATATGAGGAATATTATCTTACTGGGTTAACTACACTGCTCATGTGTACCTGGTATCATTGCTGCGAAGAAAAAATATACCGTGGCGCCTACGGAATGTTAATAATAGCCTCAGGTGTCTCCACGCAAAAAAAAGCGCGCTCAGTTCTGCTGCCACAGCTGCTCCAGAGCTCTCCCAAGGGAAGCCTTGCGTTGCTGCACCTCCTGCGGCGAGGAGACTTCATGTCTTTATATGGAAAATTCAGAGGAGGGTCCAGCTGCCTAGCTGAAGCACGTAGTCAAAAGGAAGTACCCAGGCTGGGTCCAGAATTTGCTGGGGTTATACATGTAGAATGTAGGCCTTTGCAAGGAGCGTTTTGTAGTTGTGTGGGGAGGAAAACGACTTCGCCTACTTCTGCCGGCGGTGCTGCAAAGATGGTTCGTGGTGCTCGAAATGCAACAGCTGCTTTCAGTGCTGCGACCTGAGTCACACTGTGGAAGACACTAGTTAGTGACGCTGGCCAGGAGAGCGGGGACGAGCCATGAAAAGAGAGCAGGTGTGCGCTTATTTCGCGAACTTCGGGAAAAAAACAGACCTTGTCAGCTCGAAAATGCCAAGAATTCTGCACAACATCTTGACGACAGTACCGCGCTCAGGGCTGTAGCTAAACAGGATCGTTGAAGTTGCAGACATGCCCTGCATTACACGTGCATCACACGGGTCCCTTCCATGCAAGGGCTTGTAGTAGCAAGGACCTCCCCGGCATTACATGGCCCTCTTCCAGTCAAGACATACTTCCTGATTTCATGTCAGAGTCAAACCTGGGGCGGGTTCAAGGACCCAAATAACAGGGTTTTAACGACCCAAATGCCATAATATTAATGGTATTTGAGACCTAAAACCCTATTATTTGGGCCCTTGGACCCTTAGGGTAACATTCATGCCACGCCTGTTCATACCAAGGCCTGCAAGGGCTCCGAATCCCAGCCCTAAGTTGGCACCTATAGTCCCTTCAGTAGATAGAA